CATCTCCATTTATTTAGACCAAGGAATGAATGGAATTTTTCCTTCTTTTTGGGCCTGTGGAGTAGCTACGAATTTTGAGCATGTGCAGAGGGATTTTGGCCGCGAATTTGGTCAATTGGTGAGCCCGTTTCGCGCTGATATTCTGGACTTCGACGAGGATCACGTTGACAGACCAATTTATAACGGTCCACCCATTTTTGATGAGGAGGCTCCGGCGACGAAAGCATAATTTTGCATTATTATGGGTCCCACGTGGGACGTCGCAACAGTTGAGTTTTCGAATGGAAAGCCGTCATTCACACCCGATTTTTTGGGTATTTTGGCCAAAGATGATTTTTCGGAGCCGAAGCCAATGTCTGATAATTGGTGGACCTTTTTTTGATTGCCTTTCGCGAAGTCTCCCAACAACGGGATGCTTAGTCGTTGTTATGGAGTTGAGCGCGCCAAATAAGGTGATGTATTTAATGTTCATTCAGTTTTGCGGGCTTTGCGTATGGTGGCGTGCTCATGTTCCTTCGAGGTGTTTAAGTCCTTGACCGAGGTTATGCTTACGTTCGGGGTTGTTGAAAGACGTTCAACTTTCGTGTTCGATCAAGGGAAATGTCGGGGTATTCTTGTCATGGGGACGACTCCAACAAGAAAGAGTCGGATTCAAGGCCGAATCCTGCTCAACCGGAGGAGAATGATGAAGATAGTTTAATAGTTTTATTATTATTATTATTATTATTATTATTATTATTATTATTATTATTATTATTATTATTATTATTATTATTATTATTATTATTATTATCATCATCTTGGAGAATAAGTTACGAATTAAATATTAGAGATCTTGTCTTGTTGGACAAGTTAGGAATAATGTTTAGGAGTCTTATTTAAAGGCTCCACCATCTATTGTTTTATGCAGTGAATTTGAGAATGAATTAAAATTGTTCGTGTTTTTTGGGAGAGTATCCCAAATTCGAGAGAGTATCTCTTTTATCTTCCCATTTGTACGTTCTTCCCTAAATCAATATTCCTTCTGGGTCTAGAAGATCTCCTCCACCAGACTCACTAACTGTTAATGCTCAAGAATCTCCATCCAAAACTACATCCCAGCAAGCAGAAACTAGTCAACAGCTTATCCAATTATTAATGGATTCTCAGTCCTATTCAAAAGGGAAAGGTCAAGACTCCAAAACTTCAGCAACTCCAAATCCTATCTCCCATGAAGCTATTCAAGAATCTTGTGTTCAAATTTTTGAACCAAGCAGAGCAATGGAAGTTGAGACAACTATCCATTCTACCTCCTCAATATTCAAAAGAATTCATGATTCTCTGGCAATTAATGAAGCTACTCCACTAAAGACATGGAGGAGGGATAAAAGCAAAACTGGGAGGCTTCTCAGAGACTCTCAAGACCCTTTTAGCTCCAATCTTGTTTTATCTTTGAAGAGGATCAGAGGACCAGAAGAAGTTATGGAAACCCAGCTTAATACTCAACAAGAAGCACATCATTTCATTCATGTGAGCAAGAAAAGTAAACAACAAGCAGATAAGGTGGAGGCTGCCAGCCTGGAGTGGCACCACCATGACCAATGTTAGCTGTGGTGTGGAATTGTAGAGGGCCGGGTGAGCCCTCTACAATTTCCCAAATGCGAGAGCTTATTAAAGTTCATCACCCACATTTTTTCTTCCTTTCTGAGACAAAAAAGCAAAATTCCTTTGTTAAATCTATCAGTTGTAATTTAGGTTATGTTGATAGAGTTAAAATCGTTAATCCCTTAGGTCTCAGTGGGGGTTTAGCATTATTTTGGGATTCTAATGTTGTAATTCATCAGCTTATTAGTAAAGACTTTTTTATTGCTGTGCAATTTTCTAACTCTTCCAGCCAACCCCTTTGGGGTATTTTTGTGTATTTAAGTCCTTGTAGAAGTATGAGATTTGACCAATGGGAAATATTATTATCTGAGAAGCAGGTTTGGGGAAACTCTTGGTTTGCTATTGGTTACTAGAATGAAATTTGTTCATCAACTGAGAAAAAAGGTGGCTTACCTAGAAGTCCTGCTAGTCTTCAGTCCTTTAACTCTTTTATTCATGATATGGAAATGGCAGAGGTCAGAATGCAGGGTTATCCATATACATGGTGCAATAATAGAGTTGGCTCAGAACTGGTTGAGAAACATTTAGACAGAGCTTTTGGCTCCATGGAGTGGCACCAATCTTATGTCTATGCCTCAGTCACCAACATCATTTGAAGTTCTTCAGATCACTCAGCTTTGCTCTTTAATCTTGGACTTCCTAAAGACAAGAAACAAACCAGATTCCACTTCGATAAGAGGTGGATAGGTAGATAGGGTTTTGAAGAAACGGTGAGGAAGGCTTGCCAAACTCCAGTCACAGGAACACCATTTTACCAACTCAAAGAAAAAATCAGACTTACCAGAATAGCTTTGCTCCAATGGAGCTCCTCATTTCAGTCTCAAAATCAGGCTCTTATTGCTGAACTCACTCTGGAATTGGAAAATCTTAATGAAGATAAATCAGAAGAGAACTAGGACAGATGGGACTCCACAAAAAGAGCTTTGAATATGGCTCATACTCATGAGGAGCTTTTTTTGCAGCAGAAATCCAGATACAGGTGGCTTAAGGAAGGTGATGCAAATACAAGATTTTTTTATACTATAACCCTTCAGAGAAGAAGACATAATGCCATAACAAGACTTTTTACAGCTCAGGGAAGAATCTTAACCACTCAAGCAGACATGGAGACTCACATCTCTGAATTTTACGGCCATCTGTTCTCATCTGAAACCAACTGGGATGGAGACTCTATTCTTCACCTAATCCCTCAAAGAGTGACCCTAGAAATGAATGAATCTTTATTGAAAGCAATTTTAGAGGAGGAGATAAAAGCTACTTTGTTTCATTTACCTGCTGACAAGGCACTATGTGAGGAAGGAATGAGTTCTAAATTTTATCAGCATTTCTGGGAGCTCATTAAACAAGACCTTATTTCAGCTATTCACAGCTTCTTCACCTCTGGTCAGCTTCTGAGATACTGGAACCACACGATATTATCCCTTATCCCCAAAGTTCAAAATCCAGAGTCTCCTGGACAATTTAGACCAATCAGCCTCTACACTGTGGTCTACAAAATCATTTCAAAAATTTTGGCTCAAAGACTTAAAGCTTGCTTGAATCATTGTATCTCTGGACATCAATCTGCCTTTATAGAAGGAAGACAGCTAATGGATTATGTAATTAGTGGTCAAGAAGCTTTCCATTTCCTGAATAGACACTCCTCAGGTAAAAATTTCTTTATGGCCCTCAAGCTTGATTTGATTAAGGCATTTGACCGTGTTGAATGGCTCTCTATCAAAAGGATAATGCTACTAATGGGATTTCATAGAGATTTTGTTCAGATGATCATGATTTGCATCTCCACAGCTACATTTTCTTTCAAACTGATTACTCCTTCAAGAGGAAATAGACAGGGGGATCCTTTATCCCCTTATCTATTTATCATCATCACAGAACTGCTCACAGCTTTGA